GGGGGTCGAACGACCCTTTCACAGGGGTTGCCTAAGACCATCAGAAAACACATATATAATTACATATTGTTTTTGTGATTAATCACTATGCTTAATTATGTTCAATTTTTAACAATGAAAATACATCCTGCATATCAGATATTTACATTACGATTCATAACAGTAGCAAAACTACAGTTATGAAGTAGCAATGAAAATAACTTTATGTTTGGGGGTCACCTCAACATGAGGAACTGTATTAAAGGGTCACAGCATTAGGAAGGTTGAGAACCACAGGGTTAGGGGCAATCAGGCAGGCAGGCAAGCGAGCAGCTGGGAGCCAGCAGTCCCAGATTATGAGAGGGATGTCCGATTGCTGGTCCCAAGGGGTCCCAGATTGGAGAGGGTGTAGGCTGGACTGAGGAACAACCCCCGCCCCCCCGCCAGTGCACGAATTTTGTGCACCAGGCCTCTAGTATATCTCATAAATCTGAACATATATATTAAAAGTACATGAATAAAAGACTAAAATTATAAAGTATAATTACATTATATTTCCTAGTCATGTTATATAATTATTGTCTGAAGCCTATACATCCACCCCAAAAAGAAAATATAAAATAAAACAAATGTGATTTTTTTCGGTAAAATAAGAATTTTCATGATGATGAATGTGAGTGGCTAGGACTAGGGGAAAAGACATCAAAATTGAATTCATGAGAAACAAAATATGTTGGACATTGAAAATAGCAATTGATGTTTATTACAGGTAAATATATAAATACTAGAAGCCTGTTGCATGAAGAGATTCATGCAATAGGCCTTCCTTTCCCCTGGCTGCTGGCACCAGTTTTCCTCCGGCACCGGACACCCAGGCGTTCGCTCTGGCTGGGCTCCAGACGGAGCCGGCCCCAGGGCCGGCTGCACAGCGAAGCCTCACGGCCCCAGGGCTGTCAGCGCTGCTCCGGCCCCTGGGCTGTCAGGCTTCACTCCACCACTTGGAGCCTACGTATGCAAATTAACCACCATCTTTGTTAGATTAATTTGCATACTCCCGATTGGCTGGTTAGTGTAGCAAAGGTACGGTCAGTTTACATGTTTGTCTATTATTAGGTAAGACTAGAGGCCCGGTGCACAAAAATTTGTGCACTGGGGGGGGGGGGGGGGGAGAGGGGGTCCCTCAGCCCTGCCTGTGCCCTCTCGCAGTCTGGGACCCTTCAGGGGATGACCACTTGCTGGCTTAGGCCTGCTCCCCGGGGATTGGGCCTTAGATGGGAATCAGAAATCCCTCTGGCAGCCCGGGAGCCCTCGGGGGATGTCCCCTTGCCAGCGGGGAGGAGACCTAAGCTGCAGTCAGACATCCTTAGAGCTGTAGCTGTGGCTGGCTGAAACCAGGTATCTGGGGTTTGTTTAGCTTCTATAATTGAAACATTGTTGCTTCCAGAGCTCAGAGCCGGGCCACGGCAGGCGGGGAACCTTGGCTTCCTCCATCACTGGAGCAAGCAAGCCTCATGTTCGCTTCAGCTGCGTGGCTGCCGGCCGCCATCTTTGTTGGCAGTTAATTTGCATATTGCCCCTAGTTAATACCCAAGTCAAAACAAATATTGGAGCTTCGGGAGAATCGAAGATGGCGGCATAGGTAAACACCGGAGACTGCCGCCGTAAACAACCACTTCAAAAATACAACTAAAAGTCGGAACGGACATCAACCAGAACCACAGGAAGGCTGGCTGAGGAGAGACTCTTCAACTAGAAGCAAAAACAACAGCAGTCCGACGCACAGAGGAGGCGCAGTGTGGAAAATTTAAAGGTACGGTGGTTCGGTGGTGAGGTGGTGCGCGTGCAAAGCGGGCTGGTGGCTGAGGGCGCGGTTGTCGTTTTCACTCAGGAGTGAGTCTCAGACTCTGGGCTACAGATCCGGGCGAGTCTCTAGGGACCCAGACTCAAACGGGAGAAGCGGGACTGTGTGGCTACGGCCCCTCCGAGGTTTGCAGCGATTGCTGGGACAGAGAGGCAGAGCCCTTGGGGACAGACTGAGAGCGGCCATAGCTGCTCCCTCCCCCCGCCCTGTTGAGCCCGCCCCGCCCAAGCCCTGCGCACAGACATTTGCCGATCGCCTCAGGCAAGGGCAGGACTAGCGCCTCCCCAGAATCCTACAGCCAGTCAGTCTGCTGGTCAAATCCCTCTAGTGTTAACTACAACAATTAAGGCTTGGCTAGAACAAGACTGCGCACAAAGACCACAAGGGGGTGCACCAAGAAAGCATAAAAGATGCGGAGACAAAAAAACATGACAGAAATGGAGGATATGGAGCTAAGAATCGCAATTTTGAGGGCTTGCCATAAATTTGTGCAGAGCCTCACGAAAACTAATGAGACCCTCGATGCTACGATAAAGAAATTAGAAAGTAAGCATACACGGACTGAAATAAAGAATATTATACCCAATAGCAGACCAGAGGAGCACAAGAATCAAACCAAAGATTCGACAAAAAACACCCAATTGGAAAAGCAAAATGAAAAAAGAATCCGAAAGTGTGAAGATAGTGTAAGGAGCCTCTGGACAGCTTTAAGCGGTCTAATATCAGAATTATTGGAGTGCCAGAGATGAGAGACAGCAAGATATGAAAACCTATTTCAAGGAAATATGGCAGAAAACTTCCCCCATCC